TATGTAGTATATATAATATACAGGTAGTCCGTGTTACGACATGTTCCGTTCCAGTAGGCTGTTCGTAAGTACGTTTGTTCGTATGTCCGTAGTAGGGCGTACGTATGTTATGATTACTGTACAACTAGCTCTACTTTCGGACGTTCCGGTATAAACAATGCAGTGGTTTTCGGTGGTTTTTAATGTGCTTTGAACAACCTTCATCCAAATGCTCAGAAGTTTTTCAAGTTCTGCAATCACTTTTCCACGTTTCTTACTAATAACAGTAGAATGCATAGGGACTGAACTTTTCACATGTTCCATAATCTTATCCTTGTTCTTGAGTATTGTACCGATATTGTACCGTAGAACGATTCATCTAGTACGAACGAAGTTTTGAGATATCAGGCTTTGAAGTTGAGGATATTTTTCCTCCATTTTTTTTTTTTTCTTTGGAAATCTGATCTCTGAGTCAACCTTGATGCATTCTATGGCATTCACATGTATTCTGAAGTGTACCCCCCCCCTTTTTTTCCAAAGGACTAATGGCAATGAGTGCACATGATTGTAGAAGTACCGCAGGTCACCAGAGGCTTGCAGTGCTTCTCGAGGCATTTCATAGAAAATAAAAGACTGCTGCAGCTGTGATTGAGATGTTTTTCTCATCATATTATGTTAATTAGTTACAGGAATAACACTGATCATTAGTAGTGGCCTATTATGTGATGAGGGCGCATCAGGGATGGTGTCGCCCGAGGTATGGGACGGATTTCATCTTGCTCTGCTCTCTCCTGGTGACTGCCAACCTTGTCTCTTTGTAGTAACTGCCAGCTGTGCTGCAAACAGAGTTGCCAGCTAGTTACCAGAGAATACCAAAATAAATCGAAAAAAAAATGTTGGGTATATTTGCTCAGACGCGACAAAGTAAACATCGGAGCTGGAGGCAGATGGGGGGGGGGGGTCAGAGATTTAGCCATAACTCTTTTATTTTATCGTATTTAGCAAAAATACAATTACAAAAATAATCACAAAATCACAAAGTTTTCTGGAGAGCGTACAACACACGTTTGAATGAGACCTTGTGGGTACAGTGAGAGAGCTATAGTTTACGACGCGCGCTACTCTCACTCCCTCCTGACAGCTTTGTTCGTATGTACCGAAATTTGTAACTCGGAAGTTCGCAAGTAGGGGACCACCTGTATAATATATGATGCATATAATATATGGAATCTATGTATATAATAATTATAATATAAGTAATCATATATATATACATATACATATGTATATGTATAATATATGATATATATAAAATATGTAATATATATAATATATATATATAATATATATATATATATATATATATATAATATATATAATATATATAATATATATATATAATATAATGTATAATATATATAATATATAAAATATATAATATATAATGTATAATATATAAATTATATGTTATAATTTATATAACATATATAATAAATATCATATATATAATATCGTATAAACAATATATATAAAGGATGATATATATAATACAAATATATGTATATAAATGATGTATATGATGTATGATATATATAATGTATGTGTTATATGATATACATAATGTATATGATATAAGATATATATAATGTATATGGTATATTTGTAAAACATAATATGAATTATGATAGTATATGCAATACATTGTATTTATGTGTGTATATATATGATATATATCATATTTATGACATACATAAAATATGTATATACACACACACATCTTCAGTTTACAGTATACTCCAGACGACGATTTAAAATGTGTTTTGGTTAGTTTTAATAGGGATAAAAATCAGAAAATAATCCTGGTTTTTTGTTTTCCTGAATGATATTTGACAATGATATCCCATAGTCACCCTCTGACAAACCACGTTATTGGAATTTGTAGTAAATTCAGTTTTCAGTCAAATTTCTAGAAATGGCAAACAAACAAATTATTGCATATTCAGATGGAATCATATGACGTTCCCAAAGCTTTCCCAAACCATCTAGTTCCCCAGGTCGTCCGTCAAATCCCAGACCCCCAAGATCATGTCCTAGGTATAAAATACTCCAAAAACCTGCCTTATCATTAAACCTTCAGGATAGTACAGTGGTAACGCGCCCCCAGTAGTGAAAAGTTGCAATTGTCGCCCTGAGGTAATTGCTACCTCTGTTGCACTAGCTGACACACGTTGATCAAGTCAACATTAGTTGGCACAGGCCGGGCGAAGCTCAGCTTCGCATATCGGACCTATCCTTATCTTTGTCTCATAACTTGATTTCTTTACAGTAAAAAGATCACAATGAAGTTCCTTGCAGTTTTCCTCCTGATGGCCTTCCTCGTGTTTGGGACTTGGGCTTCGTTCGGCCGATCCCGCTTCCTGTGCCTCTGCTCAAGGCAACCTCGCACTGGAAGATCAGCCCATATTTGTTTCTGCTGATCATTAAACGCACACGCGCATTCATAAAAGTTTCAGCAATGTCACTACTAGGATCGATAAATAGGTTTGTTTAACCCTCTTTCTTGGAAAGAGGAAAAATGGCACGCTTTAAACAGTCTGGAGCGTCAGTAGGATTAATCTGGTTTACAACGATATATCTTTTTTGAGGAAGGATTATGATTCAATAGGTTGATATACTTCATCTGATTCTCAGGTCACGCTTTTTTTTTTTTTTTTTTTTTTAATGCTCTTTACATAACTATGATTCCAAGTGGTTTTAATAACTATTACCTTTTAGGGTTTATTTTCTCTCAGTTACTTTTATTTAAGCAACTTAATATCAATGGATTTACTCTGGCATAGCTTACTTTACTTTATACAGAAGGGGTGTGAACAGTGTTTGGTCTCCTCTGGGTCTTCAGTACGTGGTCCTTTACGGTATAGTCAGGGGCATAAAAATGATGGTAATGATGATTTTGTGTTAGTTTTAAAGAGGGGAGGCAAACTAACAAAATTTGACACTAACAATAACAATAGTGGCAATAATGAAGATAACAATAATGTTTATAATAATAGCAGTAGTAATGATAATAATAACCATAATGATGAAAATAGTAACACTAGTTGTAATAATAATAATGATAATGTTGAAATGCAATAATAGAGATAAGAAAATAACAATCGAATGCAATTAATATTTAATATAATGATAATTATCATAATAATAATCTTAATGATAATAATGATAATACCTATGATAATAATAACAATAACAATGATAATACCTATGTCAACAATAACAATGATAATACCATGATAATAATAATAACAATGAATGTAATAATAATAACAAGAATAACAAGAAAATAATAATGATAATAATAATAACGTTAAAATCAACGAGAACAATGCCAACCATAATGATAACAAGGTCCAGCAGAGGACCCTCAAAGACCCCTATAAACACCCATGAACAGGATGTTGTTCGCCTCGTTATCTTTAATGTAGAAAACGAAGGGCCGGTTGCACGTGAACGTCGTCTTTGGAGGCATTGGACTAGACTTAGTCACAGCGAGCACCGTCGCCGCTGCCGCCTCTGCGCCTTCTTCGTCCACCTCTATAAGGGCCTTGTGGATCGCTCCATTCACCATTAATCCTCGAACATGTGTGAAGTCGGTCAGATCGGCGGCGGATGAGAAAAGGTCACGGATTCCCATATTCTTTAAAGTCTGGAGAAGGAAGGCGTGGATACGAGGCTATTTTTAAAGGTATTTTGCGTCATGATTTCGCTACAAGAAGCAAAACAGTTTTTAATAGGTTATCAGTATTTCATTTCATTAAATAATCGTTTATTGCTCTCTCAGTTTAGATATAATAGTAGTTTAATCTTTCAGGGATATCTATTACCAATATGTAACGATTTTGCAACCAGATGCGCAGAATCTTTACTGAAGTAATGGTATGATATGTAAGCTCGGAGTTAAAACTCAAAACCCTTCGCGAGCCAATTTTCCCTTCAGCCACCATCTTGAGGTCCAACAGAGGTTTACATCTGGCTTCCCAGGATTACGTTTCTTATACTGGTATTATATGATTGAACGTTAAGTTATTTTACCTATCACATTTTGAATGATCCTAATGGTAACACATTATATATGATTATTTTTTTCATGACGATCCTAATTTCACAGGCGTTGGGATCAGCCCAGTGAACACACTTAGCCCGCATACCATATATATATATATATATATATATATATATATATATATATATATATATATATATATATATATATATATATATATATATATATATATATATATATATATATATATATATATATATATATATATGTGTGTGTGTGTGTGTACATATATACATATATGGATGTATATGTATATACATATAAATAAATAAATAAGTAAATATATATATACACTTATATATGAATATATACACATTTATATATATACATATATATGCGTATGTATATATACATTCTAATATGTATGTATAAATATCAGAATGACATGCGCTTTTTCATTCATTGCAAAGACAGAATAAAAAAATAGGAATGTAAGTGATGAATGTAAAAGGTAAGTATTGGCTTAATTAATCATTCAAAACGGCCGCCTGTAAGACTGAAACAGCAAATATCCCTCGGGCTGCTCTAGGCTGTACTGAGGAAAGTTTCCTGTTGGTACTTTATATATATATATATATATATATATATATATATATATATATATATATATATATATATATATATTATATATATATATATATATATATATATATATATATATATATATATATATATATATATATATATATATATATATATATATATATATATAACGTTTGTGATAGCAGATTATACCTCAATTTGTGAGTAAACTACGACCCTTTGCTTACCATTCCCAAACTACCAGGTTCGCTTACCTTGCCCTAATTCAAACATACCGAAATGAGTTCATCCCCGAGAGTACTCTCCACGCTGATCTTGGGAAACTTGACTATCAGCGGGACGGAGGGCATCGCCTTCACACAGACACGAGTCTCCTGGGCCTCAGGCGTCGGACCAGCCTGTCCACCTCCTTGGCTCTCCCATTCGCGGGAGGAGCACCACCATGGACACGGCGTCGCCCCTGTAGGGCATCTCCAGCACCTGGGCGTGAAGCTTCTCCGAGTCCACTGGAACGGAGTTGGACATATTTGAAGTTCGTTGATAACAGGTGATTCATTTTACGATTTCCTTTGCATTGTAAGGTAACTTGTTCTGTGTTGGAATTGTGTACATGTTCCCATAAAGAGAAAGACACCTAATGAACACATAATTGATTTTGATTTGCGACAAATCGATACAAACGCAATGAAAATGGGGAAAAAATATGTAATAACGGAAACTGGACACAAGGAAAGGTAGGGAGGTTCATTTTGTATAAAGGAAGAACTCCCATACATTACCATTTGAACCTTCCCGTTTGCGTCATCATATCCACTTGGACAGATTCTTCCGGGGTTACGAAAAACTTGTCCTTGTGGGTCCTTTGAGGCTTGAACGGGTATTTCCAAAAGCCTTTGAAGTAGACGGCGTTAGTTAAGACCATTTTAGCGTCTTTAACAAAGGAGGGTTCTATAAGCTTTGGTATTTTTCCTCGCGTTTCGGCGTTGATGAAGGCATTGATGTCAGCAGCGGCGGCGTCGGGCTGATGGCAGATTCAGGTTTGATTATTTCGGTCAATGGAGTTTAAAGATCTTTAAAGAAATGTATCTGTTTTAAAAACTTTAAAGGATTTTTTTCTTGTACAAGGGTCTCTTCTGTACGCGTCATAAAAGTTATGCTGCGTTCGGAACTGCTCGTCTTGCTCGTCCAGACACCTTGTCCAAGACCAAGCAGGACAAGTGGGCCGCGTTCTGAACCTCCAAGACCCTTTCTGCCCAGAATGCAACCGGCTCCAAGGTAAACATATTTTATTTTTATTTTTTATTTATTTTTTATTATTATTTTTTTTCATCATACTGGTGTCTTTATTTTACACGCTGCATAGGTTTTGTAACTCCTTTGATGCATATTTAACTTACCTGCAACTGACAAACACAAAAATATCCTTTGATAACACCAATAAAGGGTTATAAAATTTACCCACCAATATCTTGCGGTTACCTACAACTGTCAATGTTTACATTCAAAATTACTGTGACGTCATCTCGTCCTGTTCGCCCAGGTTCGCAGGAGGGCGAGTTGGACGAGCCAGAATACTTGTCCGGGACGAGATTGTGGAAGTTCCGAACGGTCAAAACATCTTGTCCAACTGGGCTGGACGAGATAGACGAGCAGTTCCGAACGCAGCGTTAAATCCAGATTAAAGTTTCATCCAAATCCACTGTACTTTCATAGATGTAAATACACAATACCAGACGCACGCGTCCATGCGATCATCAGTAAATCTGTTCTTTTACAATTAAGAGCGGGCATTTGTGTAGTCGAAATTAGCAAACTCTTTGAGTTTCATATCGCACGCTAATGCTGTTACCGAGACGTTTGCAAAAAAAAAAAAAAAAAAAAAAAAAAAAAAAAAAATGTGGCACACACACACACACACACACACACACACACACACACACACACACACACACACACACACACACATATATATATATATATATATATATATATATATATATATATATATATATATATATACATACGGCAGTCTTATAGCATGAGGATGTGCATTTGTGTTACGACAACTAAATCCAATAAAGGACTTCAAATGCTCTTTTTATAGGCAACAGAACTGTAGCTGTTAAACAAAAGTTACATCAGTTTATTTCTGCGGAGAGTTTTCTCCGAGAGTTTTTTCGTGTTTTGTTGCTGTCGAGGAATATGATAACAAAATTCCCACGTAGTTTTGAAGGCATTGTAATATAAAGATTCAGAAAGTTTGTACTTTAAATCTGAAACCTAATCGTGATGTTATTGAAACTCTGGAATTATTTGTGGGATTTCCTTTCGTTTTTTTTCGAGAGTTATTTCTGCAGTTTAAGTATCCCACGACTTATGAAAATATATGTTGATAAAAGTTTATACACATCTTTAGCATGAAAATGCCAGAATTAGTTTCATTATTCGCAATAATAAACATTTATGGCAACTCGACTTCATCCTTTTTACCTGAATGGTGCGACTAACTGCCATTTGCGCCATGCGCACTAGAGATCTGGATTAAACTTTAATTCTGGATTAACTTTTATGGCACGTACAGAAGACGCCCTAAAGCACTGAAGAAGTTGGTTCATTCTACATACATTAAATGATCACCACAGAAGGCTTTTCTCTGTTACTCAAGATCAAAGTAAGTCTGCTGAACAGATCTGCCCTCTTGTACGGAAGGCTTTCACACTGCGCCCGAGGTTTAAAGCTATAAGGTTTGAAGTGCTTCACTTTGTTTAAGGCTTAAAAGGTTTTATCACTGTGCCTCGGCTCATATTTCTGTCTTCTCGTACTAGACCAAGATTGCCAGAGAACTCCCTTAACCACTTGATGGAAACGTATCACAAATTGAAATACAATGTCAGGTTACAGAGATTTGTATGTATATACGAAGTGATAATGCAGTGATTTAATGCAAATGTATGTGTAGATTACCCTCTTTTTGCAGAGACATAATCAAAACATTAGACCATAACTTATAAGCTGTGCTTTTATATAAAGAATGATGTTCGTATCCTCACTGAGCCATGAATCTGTAACTACATGAGTTCTGATATCCCTATTTTGGATATGCTGCGATGTTACAAGTGATGAAGACTCCCCACATCTAGTAGGCAGGAAAATAAAGCTGTAAGCCAAGTGTTTCTTACCCTATTAAAGTCTGTAACTTCACTTGTCGTCGAGGACTTTTCCCACGCATTCTCGGACGGGAATGGACTGGTCGAAGTATATCCTGTTAGCCGAGTTGATGGTGTAGTTCTGGTTTGCTTCTTGGGAGTCATAGCTGCAGTCGTGTTATTTTAGTAGAAATTATTATCTGATAATGTTATTACTTGCATTTAAAATCATGATCCTTTTTGTTATCATCAAGGTATTCATGTCCATTTCTCTCTCTCTCTCTCTCTCTCTCTCTCTCTCTCTCTCTCTCTCTCTCTCTATATATATATATATATATATATATATATATATATATATATATATATATATATATATATATATATATATATATATACTTTTATATATACATATACACGAAAATGAATAAACCAACAATATGAATTTAAAAAATCTTTTTGTTGTTCTTTATAATTTTTGTATACACGTTACTGTGTTAATGTTTTACACAAACACACACAGAATCACACACACACACATACATACATACATATATATATATATATATATATATATATATATATATATATATATATATATATATATACCTACCTACCACCTCTTAACGGTTCACTCGGTAGGTTTAATCGCGTCAACCCACTCACCGCCGTTCGAGGGCCCTGAACAGGGCGAGCGTGTCCTCCCTGTTGGTGAGCCGCAGAACCTGCTCCAGCTCCGCCTCGTGTTGCCTCGGGAGCCGAAGTAGGCGAGGACGAGGGCGCTCCAGACGCTGAAGGGCGAGATGAAGAAGTTCCCCGACGGAGGGAGAGCCTTCTGAGTAAGTCGAGGCTGAAGGGTCGTCCGCCTGAGAATCGGGAGCCGCGGGGGCGGCGAGGTGTCGGAGGAGGAGAGGCACTGACAGCTGGCCCGTGACAGGAGGGCGAGGGCGGGGAGCAGCACGCACACTCTCATGGTTCTGAAAGGTCACGCACACACTGGTATTTGAATATAGAAACACACACACGCACATGTATATATCTTAGTCAAAATATTATGTATTTCTAACTATAGACAAAAGCGAGCCAGATACATTAGCACTATTAGATATCTGGTCTTATTATTTTGTCGCAATGAACACGGTTTAGAAATAAGCGACTCAGACACGGGTTGCAGTATACAAAACTATAGGGTGCACAGGAAACATATAACCGATATTGCATGTTCGCCTAACTAATAGATTGCAAATAGACCTTATGAGGTGGGAGGCAAAATGCTGAGAAGAACGGCGCAATATCTTTCAGTCACCTCAACACATCAGCAGTCAACAGTTACCATATGCGATTTGCAGTACCATAAATTCCTTACGAAATCTGAAATTCATATAAAACAGAAAACACCAACGATGGTCTGTGGTGAGACTTTAAAAAGCTAGAGATTACTGAGTTAGCGAGGCTTTCCTGTGAATATTTTACTACCCTCTACATCTGGTTTATTCATAATTCCATCAAGCACACAATAATGATACACTGAACTTACACAAACCGTAGTTTATTGTCTTTTATGCTATGTTTGGTGCCACGTCTCTCTGTGTAAGTGTATATTTGTTACAAAACTAAGATTTAATTAATACACTACAAATCTGAACTATATGAAAAATCTTTATCTGAATTTGATCACAAAGAGATAATGTTTTGGGGATGATTTTGATTCTCATGTTCAGAATTTTAACATCATCAGATGAACGTCTTATCATACAGGGTGTCCTGTATTCACTGTTAATGAATGGTTAGTGATATGATATGTTAACCACTTTCATTAAGTTATGAAATATCTTGAAATTCTGTGTGCGAGACGTTTGTTAAAATTGTGCGAGGCCCGACCCAATGAATATTCATACATAAAGACATGCAAATAAAGGCTTATTTCTTTATCTATCTGATAGATATACATTTATTTATCTATCTATCCGGCAGATATGCATTTGTCTGTCTACATTCATATTCATAATAATTAGGTCAGGCTTCGCACAGTATTAACAAACCGGCCGATGATATACATCAGCATACAATCATACAAAACACCGGTACACAGTGCTCACCAAGAGAGTCTCGACACCAACCAATTTATAAACATAATTTGATCTGATGGAAACAAAGAGATATATGTTTTGGGGGTGATTGATTCTCATGTTCAGAATTTTAACGTCATACACATGAACGTCTTATCATACAGGGTGTCCTGTATTCACTGTTAATGAATGGTTAGTGATATGTTCATATGTTAACCACTTTCATTAAGTTATGAAATCATCTTGAAAGACGTTTGAAAATTGTGCGAGGCCCGACCCAATGAATATTCATACAAAAGACATGCAAATAAAGGCTTATTCTTTATCTATCTGATAGATATACATTTATTTATCTATCTATCCGGCAGATATGCATTTGTCTGTCTACATTCATATTCATAATAATTGGATCAGGCTTCGCACAGTATTAACAAACCGGCCGATGATATACATCAGCATACAGATCATACAAAACACCGGTACACAGTGCTCACCAAGAGAGTCTCGACACCAGCACCAACGCAGCGACCTAAAGTGACAGACGAGCGCGAGAAGTCCTCACGCAACGCACTTTCACCTACTACTGAGAGGCGGCTGGGACTCACGCTGATATACATCGCAGAGAGACCGCGAGAGCCGACATTTCATCTGTTGATTATGTTTAGATCTCTGCATTTATTTGGTCTTGCCTATTCATAAATCCTTTGCTCAAAGAATCGGCTCCTAGGGTTAATTTAATCTTATTATTTTTATTATCATTATTTTTTTATCATGATTATGACTGTAATTATAATAAGGATAATGATAATGATTCCTATAACGATTATCATTAGCACCATTGCTATTACTACTATATTATCATTTTCATTACTACTGTCATTGTCATTATTATTACAGTCATTATTATTACTACAATTTTCATCATTTTATTATCATTATCATTATTACTATTGCTATCGCATTTATTATTTTATAACTATTGCTTTCATATTTATCATTATCATTATCACTATTGCTATCATATTGATCCTTATCACCATTACTATTATCACCACCGCCATCATCATCGTCATTATTATCATCCATTCATTTATCTTTCTTAGTATCCAAATGCACACAAACCCAAATGTAAATTACAATAATACATAACAAGGCACAGAATACATTCTCTACAAACTATATTATTTAATCCGTATCTTACTCGTACAAGAGTTATTCCACTACATCATAGAATAACGAATACTTATCTGTTTGAGCCTTTGGTTGGTCTCGAAAAAGAGTCGTAACTATTATTTCTTACGTTTTTATAATTTTAAAAAATATAAATAATCAGTAAAAATTATGATTATGTCTAAATCTCTGCATTTGTGTGGTCTTGCTTGTTCATATATCCTTAATTCAAATAATCGCCACTTTGTATTATCTTTATTTTACATAATTATTATTATTATAATTATTTCTATCATTATACTCATAATCATTATGATTATAATTATGATAATATTGATTACGATTAAGATTATCATTATTGTTATTACTATTATCATTATCATCATATCCTCATTAATATTGCTATTATCATTGTCATTATTATCAGTCTTTATTATCACTATTATCATAATCATCATTTTATTATCATTATCATCATTATTATCATTATACTATTGCTTCTTTCCTATCATTTTAACCATTACTATCATCATTATTATCATTATCAATAAAACTGTGATAATCATAATTACTACCATCATTATTATCGCCATCCTTAATATTATCACCGCCACCACCACCTCAGTCATCTTAATTATCATCTTTATCATCATCCACTCATTTATATAATGAATAACAAACCAGAAAATATATTTAACTGATTTAGTCCTTTTACAAACTATGCTATTTAAATCAAACTCGAACAAGTAGAGTAATAACGAATAACGAATAATTGATTTGAGCCTTTGGTTGGTCTCGAAAAAGAGGCTTAATTTATTTCTTACAATTTTATAATCATGGTAATATAAATAATCAGTAAAAATCCTACCAGGGTCATGAAAATGTATGTATTATTCTTTTCGTGTTTGGACTACAATGGGAACAAGTCTCGTACAATGCATTGCAGAATAAACATATAACAAGTGCCAGCACATGCCCTTGATTTTGCAATAGCTGAGACTGAAGTGAAATCAAGGAACAGTTGATATTCTCAAAACAAAAATACAAATAGTGTTCCCTTCATTGTAATCAAAACAGGAAACGAATATTGCAAATTCGGGTCACGTTTGCATTGCAATGATGCTATTTGGCATAACAGCAA